CGAAATGCTGATGCTGCATGGGCCTTAAAAACCCTTATATATACGGACACAAAGACTGCAATACCTCACTGCAATATTAACTAGCGTTTTCGCTTTGACTTCGATTGGTAAGACACTAAAGTCACGTCAGAATGGACATTTTGAGATTTCCCCGGAATAAACTGATGTTTTTGATCTTCTGGATGTGCCTGTCACTGGATTTAGGTTGGGCAAGTATACCGCCCACAACTAAGAAGCCTAGACCTACAAATCCCCCAAGGGATATGGTCACTATCCGAAAAATATGTCCGCCCACAGCCGCAGAAAGGATGTGGGTGCCAGGTTGCGTGTTTCAAAATAAATAAAGATCCTAAGGTACTATGTGTTTATTTTAAAAGCATTAGAACATCTTGAAAAAAGGAATTTTAAAATTAAATAAAACGAAATTTAAAAATTAAAACAAATCACGAACCGCTAACTATAAAGGGGGATGCGAAGGCTCCAGTAACTTATTCTGTTTGGACATCGGTTGAAACTACCCAAAAGCAACTGTGCAATGAAACTATCCTGGTCAAAGCTTCTGTTTTTCATTGTCTTGTTGTGCCTGTCCTTGGATATAAATCAGGCCAATATACCGCCCACAACTAAGAAATCTGAAACTTCCCCATCAAGGGACTTCGTCAAAGCTCAACCAATTTGCCCGCCCCAAGTAAATGATCGTCACTGCGTGAAAATTAACTAAAGATCTTAATTGGTCTATAGAAATAATAGTGTTGAGAAATAAAAATCATTTATACTTCTTTAATATGTGTAGCTCATTATCATGAAAGTACCTAAAATAATAATCACATAAGAAACAAATGTAAACCGCTTTATTTCTCAGTATAGCACTTAAATTATACATTTTGTCTGTACAAGTAGACATGACTCTTTCATGAGCTTCGTATCGATTTGTATTGACTATAATTATGTATGTTCAAAGTCAAAGTTCAATATGGCAGCTCACATGTCTTCGCTCGCGGCACGAGCCGACCAAAAAGGTGCCAAAAGTGGCTAAATTGCCGACGTCGCGACTTTTGCTGATGCTTTTTTTGCCCCTCGGGCGGCATCGATTTCATTGTTTAGCTGTTGTTGCGAAACAAATTATAGGGGGATATAATAAAAAACTAATTATTAAGTTAAACAATGATTAGACCAAGCGCTCGGCTCTTTTGTGGCCATTCTCATTCTGAGATCGCCTTTCGATTCTCGTGACCATTTGGCTTTTATTTTATGTCGATTCTGACTAATTTCAATAATTAATTTATGCTATCCATTAAAAATGTTAACGTTCTTCTTCGGCTTCAGCTTTCACTGTGCGCGTGTCCCATACCGCCGGTTTGTCTACGACTCGGGGAATCGATTGGAACCAGACCTATATCTATGGGGGGGAATCTGGCCGGATAAACATTAAACAAGTCGCCAAACACCTGCCAAACAACTCCAGAGAATTCTGTCGCTCTTTTGGACACAGACTAACTGTAGGTCAAGTGACTGATCGACGATAATTGCCAGAAAACATTAATTTCAGTCAAATGCAGAGGCGGAAACGAGACTGGGCTATTTTAAGACAATTTATTGAGGCGGTTATAAATCTTTCAAGTACCCTGAAAGGTGTTGCAATAAATATTTCTGGGCCTAGATCATCATTTATACCTCAAACAAAGGGTAACTCAACTTAATGGTTCACTCTGCTTACCATTTTGATATATATTTTTCAACAAGAGTATGCCAAAGTTTTCAATTGATATATTTGCCGTGCTTCGTTTGTTGTTTGTTATAGTTTTTTGCGTAAAATATTGAATATTCATAATGCCTCTCGGTGAATGTGCGGAAGCTTCAGCAAATAAAAAAAAATTCCACCAACTATTTACGAAGCATTGTGTCTAGAATCGTGATAAAATAAAAACACGGGAAAGCTAGAATAGCTTGAGAATCTTCTTGTAGGCAAGGTCAATTGAAAATGATATTACAGCTGAGCAACATTTGAATTCTTTGAGCTTTCAAGTGGCTCTAAAAATATATTTGCTAAGAAAGATGTCAAGAAATGAAACGAACCGCTAAAAATGTTTTATTTTCTGTTTATTCACACGCGCATATTCAAATGCTAAACGAATAACGAGGCGTGTCTTAAAATGTCTTGGTAACAAATGCGGCTGTTAAAAGATATTCACGAAAATAAGTTCGGGTGGGCATCTTTTGTGGTCCTTATCAGGTGGTTGGAATCGCATGTAAACACACAAGACCACGAAATCTGTATTTATGCCTACGAAATCTGTATTTCTTTAGCTTTCAGCGGGGTTAACCCCGGTCGTACAACAGGTCGTATGCTTAATATGTATGAACGATTAGAGCAAAACAAAACGAATGTCGGCGAGAGGCACGTGAAATCTACTGGATCTTCTGGCTATCACAGGCGGCAGGCACAGGGTCATAAATTAAAAGAATCTTCGATTACCGGCATTTAGCGGCTCATGGCTTTTGATTCACTTGGTGCTTGGTGCGATATCTGGTTCCTGTATGCAAATTGGGCAAAAGTAGTCGCCTTGACTACGTTCACACACAAGACACGATGATGGAAAGATCACAAACATATTTAACAGGGGGATATTAATTTTATATTTGGCATTAACATTAACATAAATAAGAGTCCGATAATATAAATGTTATCACGCACTGATAGAAAAATGTAAAAGTAAAATAAAAATTCTGCATATTAAATGCAAAAATTTAATACGAAAACTTTATATTCAATTTAAATTGCATGAATTAATTTGAAAATGTTTTCCATATTAGCTTTATTAACTTTAAATATTTTCTATCCAAGTTTAAAATATTTAAAATAAATATAATTGTTAAATTTATTATTTTCATATTTAAAACTAATAAAATCCGCACTGGGTGAAAATCAAAACGAAATATATTTAAATTGAACTTAAAATCGTTGGATTCTCTACGTTTTTTATCAGTGCGGGGCAGAAATCTGCACGATATCAAAATCGATTGTTGCCCCGCCCTTGTCACTGATTTACGGATCCCAAAGTCTTATAACTTATAACCGTAGTTAGAACGATGCTTTTCAGACGCAAATGACACATTTTGCAAGTCAAATCGCTGACTCAATAGACAATGGCCGCAAATGGCATAAGCAGCCAATAATAATGAATGTTTTCGCGGCAGATCAAATTTATGAATGTGAAACCCAAGATGCCAGCGGTCCGAAAAGCATTATTAATTACATTTTAAATTTTCTAATAACCGTAAAAACACACAATAAATTGTTTTCGATTTTTTCGGTGTTTTTATTATTTGTTTTGGGTAGATTATGTATGAAAAATGCTGCAAATACGTTGTATGCTTCATACATATTAAGCTTCACCGTTGACAAATGTTCCATCAATCAATGCAAGTGAAAGGCAACCGAAATGATGTCACATGTGTGTGATCCATGATCAGAACCATTTTAAAGTGGACCTAAAGGTAGTTATAAAGTTATACTCATCATGGTAACATCTTTACAATATCTTAGCCGAAAATAGCCAAACCATTTCCTGTGTTTGTGCCACTTAATCTTTTTGGTAAGGCCTTGATATCGAACAAATCATTTTTATTGGCACTGCATCTTTGGCTCAAGTGGCTTCATTCACTTGACGGTGGCAGGTGAATGTATTTCCCCACACACACTCGCATGAGAAACGGAAATGATGTGTGTATGCCCAAAAGCCGTTAAATTTGCTTATTGTTGCCACTAAGGTCAAGTGAAGATACAAACAATCAAGCCAGCAGACAATCCAATGAATGGAAGAGAGGGCTACCAGGTCGGCGACCAGATGGGCAAACCATCTACAAATTGACATGATAAAGTCAAGTTTTTAGTGTATTAAAACCAGAAAAATGAAATATAATCAGTAGTAGGTATTTGCTTGGCTTATTATTTTTGATGACTAATCTTTCGCCTGGATAAGTTTTGCATACTGGAATAGAGCCACTTCGGTATAAAAATATTATTTTAACACAAAATTATGCAAATTATTTCACGAGGGAGACTAAACGAAGACTTAGGCAACAAACTTCAATTAAGGCACGCGCTGCGAGTAGACAAATGGTGTTAAAATCAGAGTACATGCACTAATAAAAATAGGTTTTACATAGATTTATATTTAATTTAATTTTAAAGAGAAAACCAAAGGCTGATGAACTTATCAGAGTATTTCCTAAGAATAAAATATTGTATAAATTAAAAATAAAATATTGTATATATTTTAAAAGAAAAAATTAACAAACATTTGTAGCTTAAAATTAATTTGTGTAAGGGAAAATATTAATAATAATATTTGTTTATTATGTAAATGTTTCAATGACAATGTTTCTTGTTAGTTCCTATTAATGTATTTTTATTTTACCGTCTTTAAGTTTTTTTTTATTTTTCTAAAGTAAAAAAATGTAGTCTATTTTGTATGTTGAAACAAAAGACTTAGAAAACGAACTTGAACTTTCGTACACTTAAAAACCAATAAAATTGAGAATTTCCACAAGAATTAATCCTAAATATCTAGACCTAATCATGATTTTATTGGTTTATAATTACTTTTTTTAGCAATGTAGATTTCTACTCTTTAAGTGCCATGGTTCTTGTTTGTGCGTCATGGCTCGTGACGACACCCCAGAGTGATTGTCCAAAGGGTCCGCGCTGAGCTCGTCAAAGCCCATCGGCATTTCCATCAGCAACCTCTTCTAGTCGCCGGATTCTTCTCAATTCGTTTCATTTAATTTAAATTTTGATTTGAATTGCCACTGCTGCGGCGTTGTTGTTATTGTTGCCGCTTCTGCTACTAATATTTTGTTTTTGCCTTATTTATATCGCGGTGTGCGGTTTGTGTCTCATCGGGTTTTGGCTGTTGGCTTTGCATTTGGATTTTTGGCGGTCGCCGTCGCTCTGCTTAGACTCTCTTAGACCCACGTACCGAACTGAACCGAACCGGACGGACCGAACCGGCGATATAGTATAAATTTCATACCCACTGACCAGCTCATCATCATTTGTGCTTTGAACTTCTTAAGTGTAAATTGCTCGATCGCTTCTGCCTCGAGAAAATTTCGTGAAACCCCCAAAATAAATTAAAATGGTATGTGATCCTGCCAAAAAGGATAATGAATCCTAGTGATCTGATCTATAGTTTCAAGCAGGATATGAACTGAAAAAGACACGCAAAAGTGAATAGTGAACTATTTAAATCAGAAACCAAAAATAACTCTCTGCATATAAGTGCTCCCCAACCCAAAACTCAAGTGTTCTAAACGACTTCATCAACGTGCTGTCCCGTTTTGAGTGGTCCTCGGGACTTGTTTCACTTCACACCCGTGCCGGAGCCACGCACATAATTATGCTCTAGAACAATCTAAAAATAAACATTTTTAGAATACTTGAAATTCTTTCAAATCAATCCTTGTGCTATGAAGTAGTTCGTACCTTATTTAGGCTGGTTAAAATGGGATATCACTCAAAGAAACTAAGAAAGACAGGTTAAAAATCCAAGTTCATCTGGGTTCAAAAAATTTCCTTTAATGCTATTTATGGGATTTTATGTTAAATTTTAATATTTTTTAATTTTTTAATATTTGTTTATACTTATTCATAAACAAACTAGATATTTGTTTCTAACGATTTGGTTTTATTAGCACACATTTTAATTATTTTCTTAATGGCACGAAGCTGCCAAAGCACTGTAAATAATTTTGGTTTAACAATTATTAAAGTCTTGGAGGTATTTAAAAGACTTTAAGAGTTCATAGGCAGGTCAGGGCTTTTTAATATATTACTAAATAGCGCAGTAAGGATATGTAAAACACTTGTGGCGCTAGGATAATGAAACCATAAAATTAAATTATTATATTTATATTAAATATTAATTTTAAATATTATTCTCGTTTTTCTTTAAGAAATTCTTTATCCTCTTGGCCTTGGCCCTTGTGGGCATTGCTGCTGGAGCTCAGCTGCCCGACTCCGCCACCCAGGGACCCAATCCCCAGGACATTGCCACTCCCGAACCGGAGTACATTGACATCGATGAGCCTTTGCCGGCGGCTGCTGCTCCTGCTCCTCGTCCTGTGGCCGCTGCCCCTCGTCCCGTCTTCGCTGCTCCCGCTCCTCTGGCTCGTCCTGTTGCCCGTCCCGTTGCCGTGGCCCAGTCCTTCATCCAGCAGCCCGTCCAGCAGCAGCAGATCGTCCAGAGGGCCCAGTATGTGGCGCCAGTGGCTCAACAGCAGGTGGTGCAGGTGCAACAGCCTCAGCAGTTGGTGGGTCACACCTACAGCAGCAGGGCCGGCTACCAGTACCGCCGACCAGTCTATGTAAGACGTTTCTACCGCCTGCGCCGCTACTAAGGGGATGCAGCTAGCTCTTAAATTTAAAAAATATTTAATACATGCTCTCGACCATCCTAGTAATTCCTCCTATATATTTTGTCGTTTCTCTTCCTTCTCCCACCCAACACACACTCCGCAAAACGAACTCTCTACGCACCAATCTTCAATCCTCAAAAATCCAAATCCAAAAACCGTATCAAACATTAACACATTGTCACGCACTACCGACTACCCACTATCAAAAACTATCCAACTATCAAAACTATCGAACTATTTAAACTACTATCCTAAATCCTAGAACGAAACCATCAAAGAAACGACCAACAAGAACAAGCCAAGATCAAAAGCATAAAGAGCGAAGTACAAAGAGACAAATGATGTTCTAAAGACAAAGATCGAAAAACGAAGTATTCAGTTATTGTTGTTGAAAATGCCAAGTAAAGTACGAATAAATAAACGTAAATTATTTGTAAAAATGATAAACATATTTTCGACTATTTCATTCATCTGCCGAAGGCCAATCGAAAAAAGGGGGAAGAGTATCAGGTTTTAATTATATTATTCACAGCTCATCAAGGCACAATAAAGTGTGTCGAAAAATTGTATTCGTTCTCGATTTGATGAGTGCCCCCCGTAGTCGTGGGTTACTCATTAATCATGGAATGCCATGAGGAAAATGTTTGTGCCATCTGATATGGACATTTGCATACGGAAGCTGCGTAGTTGCGTACTTATTATTTTAACAAGTGGCTGGGAAAAATAATTTCTGTGTTGCGTGGTGTCGGCACTCATTAACACAACAACTGGGGATTTTCGGCCAATTAGGTAGAATTATTTATGCAGCTTCTTGCATGATGCTTTTGACGGCTCGTAAACCGAAACTAGTCACAGCGACTAAACAAATAGAAATACATAAATCTACTGGATTACTTTCAAAATACATTAATTTGAACCGGTTTAAGCTTCTGCTAAACCTGCTAAGTAGTCCCAAAACCTGGCCACATAGTCAAAAGTCAAAAAATCAGAAGTGTAAACAATCCATGTTTTAAAAGCCATAGTTTGTAGTCCGGGTGGTCAGTTCAAATCCGAGAGACAATATGCTATTGATTGATGGATTGATTGTCAATTTGATATTGCCTTGCTACTCAGCTTCTATTCAGGGGCATTAACAGTCGCTTTTGTCAGTGAACTATGACAAACTGGGTCTCGATCTACCCAATACACTCCAATCCAATCGAATCCACTGTGTTCCACTCCTTTGTGTGCCAGCGATGACAGGCGGGGAATTCATCATTGGAGGTGCTTCCGTCTTGGCTGGGATTTCTATCCATTCCCTGGGGTCAAGTGGCAGTTATAAAGCGTTATTGATTGATATTGGGTTATTTATTACATGGTCTTACACACCTAAAAATTACTTTCTATTGTTGCATTTCAATTAAAATTATAATTTAAGTGAAAACCCAATTCCGGGAATCATTCAAATAAAGCATTTACACTTATTTCCTGGATAACCTTTGTTATGTATTATAATTTTTAATGTCTAAAATAATAACTATAACTTTCATTTGCGATTTTAAAGGATTTTGTTGTTTATAGTATTAGTTATCAAAACTGTTATACTCCATTGTCTACATTGTATTGCTTAAATTGTGGAGCCTTTATAAAAAAAATCTACTCTTAGGCTGATTTTTAAAAGTTGAGCCAAAAGTTAGGCTACAAAAGTATTTTAGACAATTAACAAAAATCACCCATTTATATTTTTGCTAAGAGAAGAGAAGACAATATGTCCCAAACCCAAGAGATTCTGCTTAAGATAATATTTAAATACAAAAAAAAGGTAAACAAAAGTTTTTAAATATTAATATTAATTGTATAATAAATATATTTTATAAAAAAAAAATTAGACAGTTACAATAAATTAATATATTTATACAACGTACCTGCATACATATTTCTAAAATGAAATATAAATTAAGTTTATTAATGTTTGCTTGATCTGGTTATCGTGTAGGTAAAGTTTAATAACCGCTTCAAATTGCATTTCATAAATCTTATTTTTACAAATTTTATAAATGTTAATACCCATGAATTGAATCATCGTTGGATATAAGTTTTTGGATGTTAGCCACCAAATGATTTATATTAATCATACGCAAAGTATGCGCATACCCGATGCAAACCAGAATTATCAATTACTATGTTTATACGATAGCAATCGCGATTTCTTGAAAGCGCGAAATAGAAATAGCCGCTGTTTATACGACAGACGAGAATTCATGCTTTTATTCACTCTCAGCTGATAGGAATGCCGGACCGGTAAAAATATCTAATTTTTAATACCACTGATTAGAGAAATAGCCTATAAAGGGCCATCAATTTCTAGCGATCTGGCAACGTCGCTCATTTTTTACAGAGTTACCAGATTGCATATCACCATTTCACGCTTTTGGGCTGAAATCATATACTGTGTTTATACGATGCCGAATTCACGCTATCATTTCACGCTTTTTGCCGATTCGTGCTTGTATAAACGCCATTTCGTGAATTCGGCAACACACGAAAGTTGACTATGATTTCAGCCCAAAAGCGTGATTTGGTGATATGCCATCTGGTAACTCTGTAAAAAATGATTGACGTTGCCAGATCGCTAGAAATTGAAGGCCTTTTATAGGCCATTTCTCTAATCAGTGGTATTAAAAATTAGATATTTTTACCGGTCTGGCATCCCTATCAGCTGAGAGTGAATAAAAGCATGAATTCTCGGCTGTCGTATAAACAGGGGCTATTTCTATATCGCGCTTTCAAGAAATCGTGATTGCCATCGTATAAACATAGTAATAGTCAACTTTCGTGTGTTGCCGAATTCACGAAATGGCGTTTATACAAGCACGAATCGGCCGAAAGCGTGAAATGATAGCGTGAATTCGGCATCGTATAAACACAGTAAATATAGTTATGATCTACGTCTAGAATGATACGATATAAGCCGACATCCAATTAGCATTTCGTCTATAATGCATCAGCAAACCGATCGTGCCAAAAAATAAGGAAACAAATGCTTGGTTTCATTAGTGGCGAATAAGAAACAGGCTAGACGACTGCCTGCTTGAAAACAGGGGTCATCAGTTTTGCTTTCTAAAATCAATGATGAGATCGAAATAATTTATGGGCCGTGTTTGTTTTAAACGGCGCTACTAAGAGCAACAACCGTTGATAAAGAACTCTTAAGTAAATCATTGTTAGGCATTCGTTCCGAAGATAAACGTAATAATCTAATTAATTTGCATTTGCTGACAGAAAGAAGAGGGGAATGAAGTTCCCAGTTCCCAGCCATTAGATCATGCAGTTCATTTGCATAAAAGCAATTCATTTTGTCAACAAACATTCTTCTCCGTTGATGGTAGACCCCCAAAAAACCAAATATATTCAACTTCCTGATCGCATTAATATCACTTTCACAGCATCGTGGGCGGATTTAACGAAACTACGGGGTTCTCTTGCTATTCGGAGGCGTATCTTCACACCTCTTAAACAATGCCAGCGATTGTCTGGAGCAATTAAGGTGCCATATCATAAATTATAAGAGTGTCGTTTATTGAAGCTCAGCCACAATTCGCCCCATAAAATTAGAGCTTATGACCGGCTTATGGCTGCTAAGTTCAATTACTCAAAGTTTTGGGTTTGTTTGGTGTTGGTTTGATGTCAATAAATCAAGCCGGAATTGGCCATAGAGCATTACTCAGTCTCGGTTACCAAAATAACCAAAATAACCACAGCTGGATTGCCCATGAATGAAACTGTTCTGCCTCGTTCAATATATATTTTTAGCACTCCAGGGGCAATTATGCTGTCTCTCAGGGGCACTTGAGCCGAGTTCGTGGTCTTTGGGATAGGATTTCCCAACTTCAAGTTCAAGATCAGAACAGGATATACACTAGAAAAATTTTAGAGTAAAAAAATATAGTACCTACATACTAAAACTAAAAACATTGTTAGTCATATTTACTTTAAATATTTTATGCCTGTAAATCTTTCAAATTACTATAAAAATATTTAAATTGAATATGAAGTCATTGGATTTACTACATCTTTTTTATCAGTGTACAATAAACACATGGGAATTTACGTTTTGGCAGTGCTAAGCTTTATTTCGTTTTTAGTGCAGGCTGAGCTGAGGGTAAACAATAAATAACTAGAGGTAAAAAATACACGTGACACTCAAAGACAACAATTAAAAAATGGCTGAGGATGATGGCTATTTTAGTAGTTGAATGGCTCTGCTGGGGGATCATAGTGGTAACCCTCATCCTGGGGCGGCAGATAGGTGTTGACGGGTTCCTCCAGAGGGGCGGCATACGAGGGGATGGGGATCTTGAAGGTGGGAGCCACAACGGGAGCCACATAGCGGGGCTGCTCCACCACGGGTGCGGGTGGGAGGTAGGCGGGCTTAGGTGGGTTGACCTTGACAACTGGAGGAGGCAGATAGGCGGGCTTGGGTGGGTTGACCTTCACCACTGGAGGAGGAGGAGGCAAGTAAGCAGGCTTCGGTGGGTTGACCTTCACAACTGGTGGTGGAGGAGGCAAGTAAGCAGGCTTCGGTGTGTTGACCTTCAACACCGGTGGTGGAGGAGGCAGGTAAGCAGGCTGGGGAGTCCTGACAATTGGAACCACAGTCTTCACGGTCACAGGAGGAAGATAAACCGGAGGTGGCAGGGTAACAGGAGCTACACGAACGGTCACAGGTGCCGGGGGAAGATACTCAGGAGCCGGAGTGGGCAGCTCGAAGGGGATGCTCGGCGGGTCATAGTTGTAGCCAGGATGATCGTGGTGGTGGTGATCATGGTGGTCATGACCGAACAAATGCGAGACATCGGCGGCTACCAGAGCCAGACTGCAAACAGCCAGGATAAGGAGTTTCTGAAATATAAAATATACAGATATTAGAAATATTCCTGATTATCCCCGAGGATAAGAGAACAAACCATTTTTTCTGCTGGTGGAACGTTCTTGCTGCGACGACGGCCTCTAGCTAAGTGATACAGTTTCCGGCAAGTGCTTCTTTATTTATACAGTTAGAGAACCTGAACCTGAAACTGAAACTGAACGACAGTGGTCGCTATAAAGCGATCTCGTCACGTTATTACCTTTTGGCCAACAACGCCGACGCCGCGAGAGACGATCTGGCTGCGAATCTGACTATATATCTATATGGCCAGACGTTTAGGGGTCTCGCCCCTTTGACAGCCGGTATTCGATATTCATTCAATTTCATATTAAATCTCTTAATTCGAAGTCATCTCGTTGCGTTGGCTTTTGTTTTTTGGCCCGGACAGAGAGCTCTGTTTATGGCTGGCAGCCATAAACGTGTTGGATTTTACGATCGCCGCTGCGTTTGCCAAGTATTTAAAATAGTTTTTGGTTAGGCAATGATTGGGATTAATAGTTGAACGTACTGCTGGAGTTAGTAAGCATTTAAGAGAGTGAAATGTTCAATATGGTATAAATCCTGTTTGAAAATAATGACTAATCTTATACAGATTTCTGGATTTTATATGATATCCTTTTTAAGTATTTTAGTTCTTAAGAATGCTTGCAGAATTATTGAACTTTTATAGACTGACATCCCACACTGCAGTGTGCTTTATCAATGCTAAGGGTAATCCCATTAATTTTTATTCAATGAAAATATGTTTGCTTTTAACTTCTTCTGTAAAATTTTAAGATTACTTTTATTTACTTATTTAAGAGCACTTAATAAATTAGAAAATAATTAAAATGTTTAATACGACAATCTAAAAAACTTTTTGATAGAGCATTTGCAATTCGCCAAGGGCCTTATTAATTAATTTAGTCCACTCTTTTGAAGGTGCCTTTGGAAGACTTGCCCCATCTCTTTCATCTGGGCAACATTGAAAGAGGTCAACTGTCGCTCCATTGCCGTTGGCTGCAATGGACGATTAGCGATTTTGTCTCGGCTCGAATCTTTCTGTAACAAAACCCTGCAGACGCCGATCAATTCCTAAATATATCTTCAGCCAAAAACTAACATCATTTTTCATCCGAAAAGACAGTAATTATAGACACTGCAGGTGATGATCAGGCTAAACTAAAGCTAAGCCAAAAACCGAAGCTGTTTGGCTACTTCGGTTGATTGGCCGCAATTAGATTTGGGGGTCAGATGGAAATCCGAATCCACATGGATCCCTCGGGGGCAGGGTGACAGCAATTTGGGTTCGATTTCAATTTCGTTTGACCTTGAGAGAGGATGGGGAAAGATATCGAATTGGAGTGGTGCTTTGAGCTTGAAAAATACCGATACGTTTGTAATATCGTAACAATAATAACGATGTTTTAAAGGTAAAACATGTTTCCGATAAAAATCGATACACGGAAATATCGAAAATATCGATAGTGTCGATATTTGTCATGGTGGTGGTGTAATAAAAATTAATTAATTTCGTTTTCAGGTTTAAATTGCTTTTAATTTGTACAGCTTAAAACTAGATGCAGTGTGTTTTGTATGAATTTGGTTTTGGTTATTGTGGGTGCGGTTTTTTCTTCGGTGGTTGGTTGCTGGTTAACTATTTATCCTAATGCCTGAAACGACGCTGTGGTGCCTTGTAGTGGTAACCCTGCTCGGCATCGTGGATGGGACTGGGGGCAGGACCCAATGGAAGGGCGTAGGAGGGAATGGGAATGTGGAAATCCGCCTCCAGCTGGGGTGGCAGATACTGTGGCTCCGGCTTGGGGGGAAGATACTTCTCCACGGGCTTGGCAGGTGGAAGATACTTCTCCACGGGCTTGGAAGGCGGCAGATACTTAGTCTCCGGCTCGGCAGGAGGCAGGTACAATCCCTTGGGAGCCACTGGTGGTGGTGGAGGTGGAGGAGGCAGACTGGGAGCAACCTTGGGTGGCAAATACCTAGCTGCTGGGGCAGGAGGCTGGTACTTCTCTACAGGAGCCGCGGGTGGAGGAGGAAGGTACTTGGTCTCAGGCTGACTGGGAGGCAGATACAATTTCTTGGGAGCCACAACTGGTGGTGGTGGTGGAGGAGGCAAGCTAGGAGCTACCTTGGGTGGCAAATACTTGGCCACCGGTTCGGGGGGCAGGTACTTCACCTCGGGCTTGGAGGGTGGCAGATAGCTAGCCTTCGGTGGAGGAGGTGGTGGGGGTGGCAGGGAAACCTTGGGAGGCAGGTACTTCTGACGCGGCTTCTCCGGAGCTCCATAGCTGTATCCACCGGGGATATCGAACTTGAGCTCGTGGTGGTGGTGATGATGGTGATCATGGAGATCCGGCTGATAGTGCAGATCGATGTGCAGATCATGATGATCGTGGGAGAGAGAAGAATGGGAATGGGCATCGAAGTGGTGGTCATGGTGATCATGATGATCATGGTCGTGGTGATCGTGGTGGTGATGATGATCATGGTGACCTCCTCCTCCATAAAGATGGGAGACATCTGCCCGAACACAGAGGCCAAAGCCCGCTAGGGCCACAAGGATCAGCATGGGTCTCTATAAGAAAATCAGAATATAATCCACAGCCAAAGGATGTACCACTTTTATTTACCATTTCCTCCAAGAGATTATCCACTGAATTGAGCTGAAGATGTTGCTGCCGTTTGCCGACAACAGGTAGTAATGTCAATAACGTCGATGGTCAACGCTTTTATACAAAGATCGGTAGCTTCCTCGACCATCTGGCTCTTTTAGTTTTCTTCACACTTTTCTTGCTTTTCATGAACTTGAGGCCGCTGGCCAATTATCGGCGTGTGGTTTATCTCTCTCTATACCCCCAAAAAGTCCAAAACTCCAAACAATTAATGCGATTTCGGCTAAATTAGCCCGGCACAACAAAGCAGCTCATGAATATGCAGCGGATGCGACGAAATCCCCAGACAATTGACGGTGATTGACTCGGCACCATCTCTGCACCACTTTTGCCCCATTTAAATCTAAATATTATGGGAGATATCAATGCTAATGGGGTTAAAACAAAACAGCGTTTATTGAGATAGTTTTAAACTTATGTAAACCTAAGCCTAGTATCATCTATTCAAAACAAAACAAATCCGCGGGGAAAATCATCTTACACGTTCGGTGGTTGAGAGCAGAGCTTGAAAAATATCGATAGTTTCGATAATAACATAGAATCATCGATGTTTCCGAAAAATATCTATGTTTGAATATATCGAAAATATCGATAATGTCGATACTTTTCAATTTGCAATTATTTTGACTTAGAAAATGAACTCTTGGGCGGGCGCATCGTAGTGGTAGCCCGGTTCCGGTTGCGGTGGAGGGGGTGGCAGGTAGGTGGGCACTGGTGTGGGTGCAGGTGTGGTCGTGGTTGTTGTCGTAGTGGTGGTGGTGCGTGGTGGGGGTGGTGGAGGAGGAAGGTAGGTGGGAGCGGGAGTGGGAGCAGGAGTGGTGGTGGTAGTAGTAGTGGTAGTGGGCGGTGGGGGAGGCAGGTAAGTGGGAGCAGGAGTGGGAGCGGGAGTGGTTGTAGTGGTAGTGGTAGTAGTAGTAGTGGGTGGTGGGGGAGGCAGGTAAGTAGGCACCGGTTTGGGTGGCAGATAAGTCGGTGGTGGCGGTGGTGGTGGCTCCGTTGTACTGGTAATCACAAATGGAACCTCCGGCTTGGGATAATCATAGCCATAGCCATGCTCGTGATGCTCCTCCAGGACTTCCAATGGCAAATGCGAGACATCTCCAGCTGCGAGAGCCAGCAGGCAGGTGGCCAAAATGAAGAACTTCTAAAGAAATAGGTTAAAAAGATATTAAATTCAGTCCATTTTATTTTATAGACCACACTTACCATGTCCGTTATTTCTGATATGTCTGACACCTTGAGCTCTTAAACCACAAATGATTGACCGTTTGCATCGACGGCGGTTTATTTATAGTCAAAATTCTAAAACAGATCGATACCATACCATAACATACCATGTCCATGGCTCTAGAGGCCAATTATTATCATTTAAATCGATATAACTCCGCTAGCCCCACGGCATTCTTTGTATCGGTAAATGTATCTGTATCTGCATCTGTATTTTCGAAGCCGAATTCGAATCTGTATCTGTAGCGATGTGTTTATATGAATGATTAGCGCCACAATAGTGCGTCGAAGTTGACAGAGGAGCAGCAGCGTCAACATTGTATTTATTGTTTCTTTTTTTTGGAACCATTATGCCAAGAGGCCCTACTGAGCCGATTTTCATCAACGTCGTCACTTCGGTTTTCAGTTACCACGGCGGTCATTGTTGCGGTGTTAAAAGTAAGCCTCCACTTCCGAGGGAACTTAGGGCTCAAAAGGCCCAGCACACTGAGAAATAGTTGTATAATTACAGATAAAAATCTAATTGATATGAATATTCAGTGAGTACCCCAAAAAAACCAAAAAACAACATTTAAAATGATAATTATTGGCATATCAGCTACCTCTGATAAATACGCATGACTGAGTTGATTAATTTAAGATTAAAATTCTTTACACTCATAAAAATTAATTTCTAAATTTTGGAAATCTCGCCATTGAATCGGCCTACCTTTGAAAATAGAAAAAAAATTTCTTGTTATTAGAAAATTGTCCTTTGAATACAGAAAACCTTTCTTGATGGAAAAAATTCAAGAAAGAATTTTTCTTAAAAATAGAAAAATGAAAATCTCATATGTTTGTTTTGCCGTCGCAGCCAAAACATTTTTGTACGTATTTAAGGACAAAATCACCTTTGAATATATGAATGAAATGACCCTAGAATATAGGAAAGTAGCCATTGACTTCCTTCGGCTGCCGAATGTTAACGACAAGAAAAACGAAGTGGGACGAAGGGCCTACTCGGCCCGACTACTATCCGGCTACCGACTTCTCTGATCCCCCGAGCGTCAGTTGTGAAAAAAATTCGTGAGTGATGGACGTGATTTTCAAGCGGATAAGAGGTGAAGCCTTTTTCCGAATATTCAAAGGTATGTAAATATGTATATAATTTTTTGTATAGCGGGCGTACAATTGTATGTATGTAATTAAAGGATACATTTCAAATCTCTTTAACAAGCTTATACCAATTTAGGTGAATTGTTTTTTAGCTAAGAGCTACGTACATACATACATTTGTACATAAATTTGTGGGTGTACAGTTCTATAATAACTTTATCTTATTACTCGCATTTTATTTATTTTTCAGAGTGAAAATACCTGCAGTTGCAACAGCCAAATAATTTGTTTGTCGAAGCTGTAATTTTGTTTTAAAACCTTCTAAGGTAAGAAAAATATGTTGTATTTGTTTGACATACTTATGTATGCATGTAATATCTATGCATGTACGCGGCTCACCCGATCTGAAACCCGATTTTCAACCCTTTCATATTCTGCTCCTCTCTCTCGGTCGCTTGACCTACGCGTCGCGACGTTTCTCTCTTCACCTTCTTAAAACTGACACGATCTGCCCTGCTTACATTCGGTCTCCCTTCGCGCAAAGGACTGTATGTAAATATATATGTATGTATGTACGTGTCTCTCCCGTGCCTCTCTCTCTGAAATTCGATTTTCAACCCTTCATTTTCTACCTGTCTTGCTCCTCTCTCTCGGTCGTCTGTCCAACGTGTTTGTATTTTGGCTATTATTAACATTACATTATTTCAAAAAAGTTGTTTATCTAAAAACAAATCATTGATATCCCAATAACTCTTTTTTTATAGATGAGGAAAGGCGAAGAAAATGGATCACCTTAGGTCATATAAAGTTCAACAGACCTTGGGTAATATTAATGTTTTCTTGAGTCAAAAATGTGTTATTTAAAAATGTTTAAATGTTAAGTGTTAAATGTAAATAAATATAATATGCAAAAGAAAAAACCAAGTTACATTTTATTTTTAGGGTTTCAGTGTTAATATAAAACTTCCTTTCAAGAAATATTATTTCTTAAATCAAGAAATAAAATTTCTTGAAAGGAAATTTAAACAAGAAAGAATTTTTCTTGTTTAAAATGTGCCTTTCTAAAAAACCCTTTCTTGTCTTAAGAAATTTAATTTCTTGAAACAAGAAACAAACCACCTTTGAAACAAGAATCGCCTTTCTTGTTTTAAGAAATATTTTTTCTTGTTTTTATGGTGGCTTTCTAAAAAACCCTTTCTTGTTTTAAGAAATTAAATTTCTTAAATTTTGATATCCCAATATTTTTTCTTGTTTTAATGGTGCCTTTCAAAAAAACCATTTCTTGAAACAAAGGTGAGGTCGCCTTTGGCAAAAATTTAAGAAAGAATTTTCTAGATTTTAAGGAAATTCTTCGATTTTTTTTTATGAGTGTAAGATCATGATTTATTTTATTTATGAATATGTATATTTTTCTCAGTGCATCGGCAGATCTTAGTTCCGTTGCTGCGAGCGTTGTAAGCGTGCTCTGCTGGCTGTCATAAATCATTTAGACTTCATTTATAATAATTATGGCGCGCGCTGCCTTTTGCAACTCAAGAAGTTTGAGTGGTCAGCGTTTCATGGACAGATAGACAATGAAGTTGTCTGCGGGACATGATCTTGCGGAAGCAATTCAGTTACAGATCAGTCGGCTTATAGTGCAGAGGCGGAGAAGATGGTTAAGATAGCTTAAAAGGTAGGTGAGAACTAGGAAAAAAAGATCTTTTTCAAATTAAAATTCTTTGTAATGAAGGTGATTAGTAGACGTCGGACTTTATATGAAATATTTTTTATATTTCCAACAATCCTTAAGAATATTTTTTACAAAAACCAAAATTAGATTAAGCTTCAATCTAATTTTTATTTTACAAAAAAATTGTTTAGCCAATAAAATGTATCTATGGAATTGTGTTTAAAAAAATGTACATAACATAATCATATGTAAATAATATTATAATTTTAAAATAAATCCTTTAATCTGCGATATTTAATAACAAGAAGAATTGCTAAATTAGATATCTTGTTTAAATTTATTTTTTTATGAAATTAAAAAACAATTTTAAAATAAAATTTTATTTAATTTATAATTTAATTATGCTCGTGAATATAATACACAAAATGTGTTCTAATTAGGCACGGTGTTAAAAAAACTATAAAACTATTTTAAATAATCCCTTAAGCTATTGAAAAATTCCCCATTGCTTCAGCAGCGGCGTTTAATCAACTAATTAGTTGGATTAGCGTCTTCGGACGATTCGATTGTATAAACAAACAGAAGATACTGGTCTATGTTCAACTATCACTTTTTGTTTCAACGCGTAGCAAAATACTATATGTATGGTTTTAGGTTGTTGAACTGACTGGCAGAGATCGAGCTGATCGATTGTCAAGTGCCGGAATTGGATGGCGTGTGCTGAACCATCCTCGTTTTTCTGCTCGCCTTTTGCCAATAATGTGCTTAACTTAAGCAGATTATGAAATTAATTGTCGTTCTTTATGGGCATTAATCTCAGCGATCTCGGCTAGGCCTTATAGACTTTATGGTCTATCGCAAAACTTTGCAAATTTTTTGTGTTTCTGATTCCTTAACCGGTTTGGATTAGAAATATTTGGTCAAGCAGAGACATTTTCTGCGTTTTCTGTTTTTTATGATGAATATCTCGTTCTGAGTCGCTTCCAAGGCAAAAAGTAGGTATTTTTAAATAAGCCCTATTCAAGGGCTTATTTGAATTGTGAAAGGAACACTGGCTAGTTTTTCAATTTGATTTTATTTTTTTATTATCTTTACGAAACTTTGGTACAAATTCAAATTACTAAGGCGTGGATTTGTTTAGCTCTTGAAACGCCGGCTGGGCACCTGGTATTTGTAGCCATGGATTTTCTTCGAGGGCTGCGGGCTGGATGCTGCTGTGACCACTGGTTCCTCAAGTTCTTCTTCGGCCTGGCCAAGTTCCGCATCGGAAGGAGCCACTGGGATGGCATCCTGGGGGAACTCCTCGCCCGTGGGAAACTCATTGTTGACCTCCAGTTCCAGTTCCGTGACCTTGGGCACGTCGTACACAAATCCATTGCCAGACCTCACCAACTGAGAGACATCTGCTCGGGCCAGAAGACAAATGGCCAGAAGGAAAAGACTGATTAACGTGATGCGCTAGAAAGAAAAACAAAATTAAGGAAATCCGATACAGAAGTGTAACTTTAAATAAATGATTCTAAACGCTCATCAAAAAGTTATTCAAAATGTTTAAGACCATGATATGCATAAATACTATGATCCATTTATTTATTTTTCTATTCTATTTATAGAGAACTAGATTTTTTAAAAACCTAAGTAGCATTAATAAATTGTTTAATGCTCCAAACGAATTATGCTAATTTTTTTGATGATGCATTCAATTGTTTTTCATATAAAAACAACCTGATTTGATAGAAATATTAAAAAGATATTTTTTAAAAAGAGGCAAATGATTAATTCATCTAACAAAAAGATGTGCAAATTTGATGAGCAATTATGTTGCGATGATATCAAGTAGGAAACTAGTTATTCTTTTATTTTATTTAATAATTCCTTTAAATTTTGAAATGTTAAACGGTGGCAGACAACAAATTGCAGCCATTTTTAATAGAAAACCCACTAATTTAACTGCTGTATGGGTGGTATTATTATCCATTTGAGTGCAGCTACTGAAGACAATCGCTTACCATGATGCTAGAATATCTTTAGCCGGGTTTTCTTGTACTACTTGGTTGGGGAACCTTTTCCGAGAATGCCGTAATAGTTGTCGCTGCCAGCGGAGCGTTGCTCAAACGAATGCAGGCGCCGGCGATCGGGCCCAAACTATTTATACTTCTATATGTTCGCCGCCACATTTGCCTCATTTTATTAATTGCGATCGTGATGACTGTGCTGGAAGCCAAAACATAAACCAAAATCGTTGGAACAGTGAGCGGCCCTAGATAAACAAACGAAATCGATGTCTTAGGCCAAATGGTGGTTGGTTGGTGGTGCTACTGGCAAACTGGCAGTCAGAGGCACTCCACTCAAAATGCTACAACATCTCCATCGGAATCTCCATCTCCAAGCAAATCCACATCGGCATCCAATCCATTGCCAAGGCTAAGACTTGTTTTGTGGGGTCAAGTGTCAGTGCGTTGCTTTTGTCTCTCGGGCGCATTTGTTTGTCGATTTGTATTCGAATTATTCGAATTAATGATTCTGACGGATCAGTGTTTGTCCCAGCTGCCACGTGATCTTCTGAGTGGCTCTTCATAACTTTACATACTACACCCAAAAAAATTAACTCTTAAAACTCATTGTTTATACCAGATGTACTAGTAAATGCTAAATAATAAAAAGCCTGTTTCTCTACAGTATTAATTTCATCATAAGTATTATAAAGTGGATATTTATTGGTTTCAATTCTAAACCGATAGTTTAAAACCAAAAATATTATTAAACAACAATTTTAATACTCGAAAGTTTATATATTTATATATTTTTGAAACTCAATAGTTTACAATTTATGTAAAAATAGTTTAATTACTATAATAGTTTTTTTTCAGTGTATATTCAATTATGCAGCCCTGCCCGATGGGTTTTGAGCATATAAAGCGCATAAAAGTGACGCTTCAACACGTTTCCGTTTCATTGGCTTTTTACGGCTGCAAAACTGCCGCCGATCGCACAATTTATCCACGCCAACTTGACATTTTGATTATAGTATAGCATCGCATTTTAGTGGACATTGGAAGATTGATTGCATTGGCCATTTGGCCATTGATTAGCTTGGTTTATGTCTGGCGGTAATTCCACCTGCTGTGAATTGCCAACGGGATCTGAATGGTGATGGAGACACACCCACTAATTGATTACTTAAAGAAAAAGAAAGCGAAACAAAGGCGAATCGAGAACAATTGAAATTTAATAACTGGAATAAGCTGACCAGATTAAATTCCGCTTTTATAAATATTCTCTTTAATTGTGAGAATACGGTAGTATTTAGAAGCTAATGCTAAGTGTTAAGTATATTTCGTGGTCATTTCATTCCTTTGTTATAAGGAAATTTGTTTTGCATAATCTCATTGTATTATTAAAGCGTATAACGTTAAAAGAAAATTTAGGTTGAGACTTTTGACTATATTTTGTTTATTTTGATATTTATATTTTGTGTCAATGAACCAACAATAGAGTTCTGGTTTATTTTTTTTAATTCACCATGAATGACTTTAACATTTCTGCTATAGCGGCATATTTATTTAGCTATAAAATACTGCATACTTTTAGAGTTCAATGATCAAGTTTAAAATCTTTAACATACCAACAGGGGTTTTAATAAATAAAAATCGATGATAAAACTTTGTAAAGCACACATTTTTGTATTATTTAAATATCATTCGAAATAAAAAAAAAAAATTTTGGCATTTTGAATTTTTAAGTATTTTTAAATGGATTTTTTAAAATTTTTTTGAAAACTTTCAATAAATAAAGTAAATTAAAGAGTGAAAATTTGTTATATTTCTTTTATATTTTCAATGTAATAAATCAAATTATAATTAAGATGATTTTTAATTGCAAAGTTATGATGAAATATATTTGTTATTAATTTTGCGATTTAACTTTCATATTAATTTGCATCAATTATAATCAATTATTTTATTCTCAATTGTTTCACCTGGTTCTTATTAGCTAGTCAATTTAGCATTAGCAGTGCTAACGAAACAAGTTATTTTAAAGTTCTTCAGGTTTTATTTTTCTTTTCGTTAATTTAGAAATGCTAATTTTGCAACATTCTGAAAAATTTAGAAAGTAAAACCCATCTTTTTAAAATCGAAAGACTTTTATTTTCACGGTTATTTGAAGTGGATTCGGCTTTCCTGCGATCGGGAAGGCCGAAGCACTTTCGTTCACAATTCGTTCACAAATATGGCTAATACTTAATCTGTGTATTATTTACAATGAGCTTCGTGAGCCTAGAAGTTGAAAGAGGGCTGGGGATCGTTGGGGTAGCTGTAGCCCTTCTGGACGACGGGTGCTGGGGGCAGGTACTCGACCTTGGGGGCGACTGGCTTAGGGGCGACATACACTGGCTTGGGGGCCACGTACACTGGCTTAGGGGCGACGTACTCGACCTTGGGGGCGACGTACACTGGCTTGGGGGCCACGTAGACTGGGGCAGGGGCAACGTAGACCTTCTTGGTTGGGGGTGGCACGTAGACTGGGGGAGCGACGTACACCTTCTTGGTGGGTGCGGGTGGCAGGTACTCGACCTTTGGTGGTGCGGGAGCCTTAACCTCGAACTTCACGGAGGGAGCACCGTAGTGGTAGCCATCGTCCTTCAGCTGACCAGTTGGGGGTGGGGTGTACACAACCTTCTTCGGTGGTGGTGGTGGGGGTGGGGTGTAGACGACGACCTTCTTGGTTGGGGGAGGCACGTAGACTGGGGGTGGGGCAACGTAGACCTTCTTGGTGGGTGGAGGAGGCAGGTACTCGACCTTTGGTGGGGGAGCAGAGACCTCGAACTTGACAGAGGGAGCACCGTAGTGATAGCCATCATCCTTCAGCTGGCCAGTTGGGGGTGGGGTGTAGACGACCTTCTTCGGTGCTGGTGGTGGTGGGGGTGGGGTGTACACAACCTTCTTGGTTGGTGGTGGTGGAGGTGGGGTGTACACAACCTTCTTGGTTGGGGGTGGCACGTAGACTGGGGGAGCGACGTACACCTTCTTGGTGGTTGGGGGAGGCAGGTACTCGACCTTTGGTGGTGGAGGAGCGGCAACCTCGAACTTAACAGAGGGGGCACCGTAGTGGTAGCCATCGTCCTTTAGGACGCCAGCGGGGGCGGGGGTGTAGACGGGACGAGGGGGAGTTGGCCTGGGCTTGGGGGCCTCGTAGACCACAACAGGGGCAGACTGCTGGGGCACGTAGGGCACATCGATGACGACGGGGGCACGGGGTGCGGAGTAGTGGTAGCCATCCTCCTGCAGGTTGTTGCTGTGCGAGAACAGATGCGAGACATCTGCGCTGGCCACGGCCACCAGGGCGAAAGCGATCAGGAATTTCTGCGAAGTAGAGATATTCCTGTATAGTATTCCAAAAAATCCAGAATGGCCAACTCGGTATTCGTATCCACCACCGATTGCAGCGCTTTGATCCTTAATCCTCGATCCTCGGCTTCTTAACTCACCATTTTTGCTCAGAACCAATTCAACACCACGAAGGTAGAGTTGTGACTGTGCCTTTTCGGGCCGAGTCTACATTATTTATAGTTCCAGCGAGTCAGGATGGTCGAAAGAGATTTCTTAGCAGAAGCTTCTCGTCGGAGCCCCGAAAACTAAACAGAACCTGCTTGGGTTGGTTAACCGGCTGCTGCTGACGTCTCTGCGATTTTTTCAGCCTGCTTCGGCTTCAGCTCCCTCAGAACGACACCCATAAACTTACGCTCGGTCTATCTTGTTCCAGGCGAAATTTTTTGATAATTTTGGCGACAAATTTAGATTTTGGCCAGGCCAGAAAAAATAAAACAATAAAATAGAACCCACGTAAATGAAACGAATCTCGCATATAATAAAAATCATAAGCCAAAGAAAGGAGAAAAATGAGAAGAACATTTTAAAATATATGATAACTTATAGAAGCAGACGCTGTGTGTGGATCGTGAGCCATATGAAAAGAGTTTAATTTGAATTCAAGAAAAACCGGTGAATTATGGGGGATTTTTCGGGGGAAGAAAGAGGAAAGTGGAGGGGTGCAAATGGGATTTATGGGTATAAAGGTCCCGCATGGCTGAGCAATTTCACGCCCGATAATCTGCAAATATTTGGTTTCTTTATACGACATCCAATTTGTCGTCAGTGGGCCTATCGAGAGTTGAGATGATGAAGCCACTTGGCACTCGGCGACATAGACAATAGCACTCTTTAAGTGATCTCCCCCATAATAAATCTAGTTTAGAGCCACGTTTTTTTCGGGCTGGTTAGCGCGACGAAAAGCATAAATTAATTTTGCATCTATTTGGTTCTAAAATAAAACCGATTCGGTATGTTTTATTTATGAGAGCATTCGCGAATTTGCATAAATTCTCCGAAAGTTCCGCCTCTGGCTTGCGGGATTCGAAATTATCTCTCGAAGTTTTTTTTTTGCAATTATTCACACTCTCTGAAGGGCGACCTTCACCCAAAACGTCATCCAGGTGCATGAATCAACCGCTGAGGATGGTCAGTCATCGTAAAGAACCGGTTTGCAAAGCAAAAGTGACCTTTGCCTTGGCTTTACAACCGCAAGGACAACCACAATCCCAATTATAGCCCACTGTTCCCGATTCCCAATTCCTGTTCCAATTGAAAAATCGATTTACGCCATCAAAAAGTTGCACTCTTAAACTGATTTTTAATGTTGGTCATTTAAATTCCTACGATTCGGAAACCCGCTGGTTATACAATCGATTTGAATTTTAATTAAATCAATTTATTTTTTCGCAAAACCATAATCGCGCACACAAGTCTTTCTCTTCAGATTGTTGCGTTAATTGCTTCTCGATTCATCAACATATTATTATCCTCTTTGGTTATGACGTTAAAGATGGGTGAAGATTCCAAGAAATCCCACCAAACATGGATGGCTAGGTCGATCGTTGACCGTTTCGCAATTTATAATAATTCTATGCTGTTCTTTTTTTAGAATTTCGGGGGTTTTTAGCTTTGATTTCCATTTAGAAGCTCTGAGTTGCGCAATCTATAGGGCAGATCTCTTAGATCTTATATCTTAGTATCGATGAATTCTGGTTTGAAAGTCGCACTATCTACGTCATGGATTTGGACCGAACGACTATATGTCGTCAATCAAGTGATTGTTAAATGTTATGCCCATTGGTCATTGGTAATTCGAGATGGCTCATTTTGAATGGCTGTTAGCGAGTCAACCAATTTGTCGGAATTTTGATGTGTCTGTCTTGCTTGACCCGATCCGATCGGATCAAAGTTTCCGGCATTTAAATGAGTTCTCAGGCCATCATCCGCCGCTAACCCGCTAATATTAAAAATTAGCTCTGATTACTTCATCCGAAATCAAAACAACTCTGCTTCTGCCTGCGGTTTAATTAGATGAATGCGCTGGGTAAATGCCACACAACGGTAAACGAGTTTAAAACATATCTAGTATATATAGAACCATATATATCATCGCAAATGTGTGTGGAACACAGGGTATTTTGTTGAAATAGCCAAATATGTGCACTGCTAAAAACACGCGTGTGTCAGATTTTTATTCGAATGACGCGGGGATCGGAAATTGCAGAACCGATCCTGAAACCGGTTCAATTAGTTTGGTGAATGCTTTAGAATTTAGTGTTTATAAATTTCACATTAGGCATTAGGCATAATTAAGAACAAGTTTGTTCTATTCATACCTATATGCGAGTTCTCCCAGACAAAACCGAATCTGAAACTCAAACCGAATCCAAATTCCAGCCCGATGCATGCAAATAATTTTTGAAAACTGTTTATCAATCCTAGCCCAAAGCCACCACCACCTCCTAATGTTGCCAATTAATCTTCAAAGGGGGCGAGATAATGTGGGGAATCAATTAGCCGCCGCCAAGCAACGGAAGCCAAGTTAACACAGCCAACTAACTACGGGCCAATATTTACTGGATGTTTGGCAACTTTTAGCACGAACAAAACGAAACCGCAGAACAACCAACAAGCGACAGCAGAAACAAAAACAAAAAGCTAAAGTTCATTAAAAATACAACAAAATTTCTTTCTGGCTGTATAAATCTGCATTAAGAGCACATAAATTCGAAGTATAATTTAACATCATCTTTGAACGAGCCGTTGTGATTAACATTAGCGGTTCGTGTCTTCGCTTATTCTGTTAAGGCCAATACGCAGCAGATCACGGTATTTTTTAACGGCGATCACGGTTTGAAGTAGCAGATCATAATAGTAATAACACATAATATTATAATAATAAATAGTACAGAAAAATTGTTTAAAATTATACTAAGAGTTGTAACATATTTGAAATGTGTAAAAAACTAAGTTTTTTCTGGGTTAGCCATGATTATGATTTATCTGTAACATATATTTTATACAAGTTCTCCAGAACAATGCCCATAAACATGTTACATCTTAAAGGTGATCCCAAACCAAAGATAGTCCAATGCCAACCCGTTTTTTCGTTGTTTAGCCAGACGGGCTTGTATGGTGTCATATAATTGAAATTAAGGCAATAAATCTCGTCCAAAAGTACACTACCAGAAAAGGTTAATCAAAATTTTCATAATTCAGTTTGCCATTATATTAATTGTTTTAATCTAAATTTATCACTGAAACAAAATTTAAAAAAATTTTTTTTTTATTTTCGAATAATACTTATAAAGTAGTCTTATTATTTTATAAGTATTTTGTCTTAAGACCAGCAACAAATTGTTAAAATATGGATTGTTATAACTTTTTGAACTCTTAATTTAATTCCCAAACGACAGGCATTTAAACCTGAAGATTTCAGTATTTGGCCATTTTTCGCAAAAAATAATGACGTAACCCTTTATCAAAAATTCAAAAAAAGGTTTGGAATTTAATTTTTTAAATCAGCCGGAAACAGATAGGAATCGATAAATTAAGTTATTAGTTGTACAAAATACTGTGATTCTTGCGATAATTTTTGGCCAAGTTACAATAAAAATCACTGCAAAATATTTTATTTTACACACATCCATTAGGAATAGCCATTCTTAATATTCTTCCTCCTTGAATAAACTTCGAAATCGAAAAAAAAATCCAAATTAATAGGCGTCTTTTTTTTAAATCGGAAAAGAGATCAATAATCAAGATGGCGTCATAAAAGAGAGCTACACGCAAAATGGCGTCGTTTAAAAAATACATCGTAATCTAAAAAGAGAGCAAAAACAAAATGGTGAATTTTTCTTATTTTCTTATTTATTGAGAAAGAGTATTCCGACTTCGATTTGGTAAGAATTCAGTATTTACAGCTACTTATTTGTTAGCTCATAATCCCCGAAAAAAGTGAAAGCATCTACCTAAATGGATTTTATGGACCTGACGAGCTACTTTCGATTTGAAAAATTCTAACTCATATCGGCTCGCGCAATTGTTTTATTGCAGACATGGAACCAGCGCGTCTGGACTACTGATTTTTATTTATGGATCGCAGTCGCAACCGCATTTTGCCCGATGACTGCAATCTACAATAAGACAAAACCCATACATATGCAAAAGTTAACCAAACAGAATATTATTTTATATACTATAGGTATATATTTTGGGGTTCTACCCAAAATGTCTTATAAATACCAAATGTTCTGCTGGCAAAAAAACAGTTTAATTGTTCGACTTTGAGTGATCAACATGGTGGGTTCCGATCGGATTTGTTTGTTTTAAATAATTATAATTGTGAGATCAGGATTAATGGAAAGTTTTTCTCTCTCCATCAGCGTTCTTATAGCTTTGTGGCTTTTGCAGTGGCTCTGCTGGGAGTAGTTGGTGCTACTTCGCTGTCCAGGACCTATTTGCCACCTCAGGTGCAGCAGCGTCAGGTGATCTCGGTGCCGAGGGTCCAGGTTCAACCGCAAGTGATTCACCGCCAGGTGGTTCAGCCACAGAACACCTATCTGCCTCCTGCCCCAAGGGTCGTGCCTCAAGTGATTCCCCAGTATCGTCCTGCCCCACAAGTGATCCCTCAGTATCGTCCTGCTCCACAAGTGATTCCCCAGTATCGTCCTGCTCCTCAAGTGATCTCTGTTCCTCGCAACACCTACCTGCCACCAGCCCAAGTGATTGCTCGTCCAGCTCCACAGATCATCCAAGTAGCTGCCCCACGAAACACCTACTTACCACCTGCCCCCCGCAACACCTACCTGCCACCCCAATAAAAAGAAGAAGATGCATCATCAACCCGAAAAAAAAACAACACCTCTGAGCCAAACACCTTGTCAACTGGTTTCTGGTTTAACCCACCCAAGCCAACTATATTCTAATGCTAATTCAGCATCTCTTAGAGAAATGCAAAAATACATTTAATAGGTTTTTATTTGCATGTCTGACTCGCAACAAACCGATTAGCATATTCCCGAATTAGCGCAAAAAATACAATAAAGAAAGAAGCTCAGAGAAACATAAACAAAGAGTTTGTCTTAACATTTTAGTTTTAGGAGGGCGTCAACCACAAATCAGATAACGTTATTATGCAAAAAAGGGCACCACAGAAGCCATTAACCTCTAAAAAGAATCATTCGAAGACGAAGACCTCCAATATGTTTGAACCAAGCCGGCGATCTTGAGGCTTCCCTATAGTAATTAATCAATCAGTCAGTCAATCAATCCAGTTAGCGGAACATTAAGTCATTAGCTTTTGGTTCAGATGCTTAACTGTTTAAGATATTGTTTACTGACTCACATAGTTTATGACCGGTTAATTGTCATGGCTTTTTGGTTCTGGATCGACTTAAAAATAGCTCCCTGCTACTGTTTTTCATTAAACTCATACAAGTTTATCGCAAAAAAGCTTGGGGTGAATTAAAAAAGCTTTTATTTGCTGAAGACGAAACTAAACTATCAGGTTTGCTATCAAAATTGTTTTCGGCCAAAAGAAATAAAGCTGTGTATTCTAATGAATATTTATATTCCGCCTGACAGCTAAAAAAATGAGAGTTTTTATTCCAAACTCCATAGCTCCGTACCTAACTGATAAAAACAAGCCCCATCTGGTGGATCTTATGGTCGCGGGGTATCTTTTTTGCCTAATTAAACAAATTTTTCGACGCGAAAAACGTTTCGTTGATTTATGATACTCAGCACTTCCGTTTGGCTGTGCGAATTCTGCTGTCTTGTATAAAAGTACAGGAGTCGCCGGTTCAAGACATTATTCGATTCGTTGCCCCTAAAGCAAACAGATCTAAGAAAATGGTAAGGATCTGTCGGTTAAGGATTATTTTGGATTATTTAATATTATATAATTATTTTTTCAGAAATTCTTCATCTTGACTTTGGCTTTGGTTGGCTGTGTGGCCGCCGAATCGGGCTATAACTACAATGCCCCCCGTCAGTTCGCCGCCTCTGCTCCGGCTCCCGTCTTCCAGCAGGCTGCCTCTGCCCCCGCTCCCGTGAGGACCTATGTGCCCCCAGCTGCCCCCGCTGCCTCCGCCCCTGTGCAGAGCATCGCCCCTGCTCCCGTTTTCCAGCAGGCCGCCTCTGCCCCGGCTCCACAGAGGACCTATGTGCCCCCTGCTCCCCAGGTTCATCACCATGCCGCCGCCTCTGCTCCCGCAGCTGTTCAGTCGTTTGCCCCTGCTCCTGCTCCAGTGGCCGCCCCTGCCCCTGCTCCCGTTTTCCACGCCGCTGAGTCTGCCCCCGCTCCAGTGAGGACCTATGTGCCACCAGCTCCCCAGGTTCACCATGCTCCTGCTCCCCAGGTTCACCATGCTCCCGCTCCCCAGGTTCACCATGCTCCTGCCCCACAGGTTCATCACCATGCCGCTGCCTCCGCCCCTGTGCAGAGCTTCTCGGCCCCAGCAACCGCCCCTGTGCAGTCCTTTGCCCCTGCTGCCCCCGCTCCTGCCTTCGAGTCCTCGGGTCCTGTCTTCGAGGCCGCCGCCTCCGCCCCCTCGGCCGCCCGTTCGGGCTACGATTATAGTCAGCCCGCCGCCTCCAGCATCTCCAGCGCCTCCAGCCAGCAGGGATACAAGTACACTCAGAAAAAAAATCGCCCTGAATTTTAGAAAATCGCCATACTTTTTAAGCCAAAGGCAGCTCGCCTTGCCTTTTAGAAAAAATATTTCTAAAAATTAGAAAAAAATTTCTAAAATGTAGGGTTAGTTTTTGCAAAATTGAATAAGAAGAAGAAAAAAAAATCGGGGAATCGGGAGTTATGCCGACTCCACCCCTCTGTCGGTGTGGGGTGTTGTTGTTGGGGTTCTCGATTCTCAACTTATTTTTCTCTCCTCTATTTAAACACATGGATGACGTCACGATGCTTGTACACAAACACACTTTTAATCTTAAATTGTAACTGAAATAATAACTGAAATTATTATATTATTTATTAATGATAAACATAAAAATCAAATAACTTACTATCTTGAGAAAAACATTTTGGTCGCTCGCGGGATTCGAACCCCTTACATCACAGTTTGCAGTCAAACACTCTACTAGCTGCGCCAGGGAAGCATGACGAGAGACGCTGTACAAAGTACATTCTCATTCTGTTCTCTTGGGTTCTAGGTTTATACTCTTATTTATCCATTATGTGTGTGTTAGCTTACCAAAACTCTTATTTGTATTAAAGTATACATTTTAATGCGCAAAAAAAAAAAAAAAAAGACTCAAAAAATGTCCGCCTCGACGTGGGATCGAACACACGCTTCCGAATATAAGCGTAGAAAACAAATAATCCGCTCGCATTAGACCCCTAGGCTACCGATTGGGCTAATTTCCTAAAATGTAAGGCGATTTTTTCTTAGTTTGAAAGAATAATTTCTGAGTAACATAAAATTTTTCTAAAAGTGGAGAACAAGAGGAGTTGATCTAATCAGGGTAAGTTTTTCTTATTATTTAGAAAAATATTTCTGAAAAATAGAAATATTTTCTGAATTTCAAGGCGATTTTCAAAGTATGGCGATTTTCTAAAATTTAGGGCGATTTTTTTTCTGAGTGTACAAGACCGTTCGTCGTCGTGTCTTCAAGCACCGCGCTTAAACAAAAAAACAGTAGAAGAACTACTAATGGTTATGATGATACGATAATAAATAAACGACAATAAAAACGAATATAAAACTTATGAAAACATGTAGTTTTATTTGAGCATTCAAAAACTGACAAAAAGATAATATGATAATTGGCTCATTATGCAAGAATGGTTTGAGGGGTATATGTATCTGCAAAAGAAACACCGAAAAAAACAAATGAGGAAAAGAAACAGAAATATTCTTTGCAACAATGGAAAAAATCATATCAAAATAAACACAAGAGCAACAACCTTAAATCATTATTGATGATTATTAATTGTATTATTAACACTGGAATGCAATTCTTTAATGAATGACATAGGTATAATATGACTTCATCTTCTATGAATATCTGAAGATATTAATTAATGGAGCAACACAGGTGTGTGTGTTGAAACAAAAACTTATTTTAGTTATTATGCGGAAATTTTTATTATTCTTTCAGTTTGAATCTGTGCTGACTTTAATAAGAATGATTTTAATTACTTAACTAAATAATACCTTCCTTCTTTCAAAAATGCATTAAATAATTAAAACCATAATATTAAGTGTTCATTTAATGAGAAAATAATACTGTTAAGTTGGATTAATATTTTAGGATAGAATTATTGTGACTTGATGTCTTTTTTATTTGGGGTATTTTTTTAAGGTTAGACTTAGTTTATTAAGATTAATTAAAGCCAACATCATAACTTATTTTGGTCTTTTAATATGTTTAGATTTTCTGAGCCAGAAAGAAATTTCCATTTCGTTTTATTAAATGATTAAGTTCCAAATATTTTAAGAAAAAGTCTAGAGCTTAACTTTCTTTACCTGTTGCCAACCTAGCCAAGTATTTAGCACCAAAGACTGAAGTCAAGGAACCCATATATTATTGCCGGCGCATGCAGCGTACTTAGGCCAATTAATTTCAACGCTTTGATCTGACAAATTTACGGGACACTTTCGTTTCGCTTTGGAATATATTTAGAATTCTAATTGGCGGCTATTCAATAAGAACAAATGGGTCACATAAAGCGCAGAATCGATTTCTCACGCTCAAACAACAGGTTTCGCTTTCAATTTGGTTCTTATATTATTTGGGGGATCGATGCAACCAATTCATTTTAACCCATAGAGAGTATAAAAGTTGCATCCACAGCATCCAAGAATCACTGGCACTCGAGCAATGGTGAGAGATCAACGATATAGGAAGGGGGTTCTGTATTCCTTTAAACTTACTTTTCTTTTTCTCTTTTAGAAACTCTTTTTCGTCCTGGTTCTTAGCCTTTTGGCCATCGCCTGCCTGGCTGATGTTTCCCATGTGAAACATCACAAGCACCAGCACAGGAATCATCATCATTCCAGGAATCACGAGAACGATGAGGAGGATCATTATCATCATCAGGAAGAAAAGGAAGTGGAGCAACCCTACTACAAGAAGGAGAGGCACACCAGCGAAGTGGTTTACCACAAGGAGGATGAGCACGAGGAGCCCAAGGAGCACCACGAGGAACACCACGAGGAACCGAAGAAGCAGCGGGTGGATCACTACCATCACTATGACAAGAAACCGGAGGTGAAGACCCAGCACATCCACTACAAGCACAGCAAACCTGCTTTTCGCACGGATTACAATAATAGGGATTTGTTTACCCCAGCTGCTACTCAGGTGGTCTATCGTCGACGTCGTCCTAGTCGCATCCTTTATGCCAGTGCCCCCAATTCGGTGTTCCATACCCACACGCAGATTAATGTGCAATCCCAGGACTCCGAGTTGAACTCTCTTACTAGACCTGAGTTAGCAGCTGGAGCTCAAGATCCTTCAGGAGCTCAGGCGACTACGGGAGCTCGTCCTGCCAACTGCCAATTTGGTCCTGGAAATGCTGCACCTGGTTGTGGACCGTCTGATCCTCTGGGTGCTCAGCTGCCAGCCAGTGCCTTGGCTCCCACTGGAGGTAATCTTCCTGCCAGTCAACCCATTCCCGGTGGTCAACTGGCTGTTCTGGGTAATGGTCAGCGTCCTCCTTTGCGTCCAAGTGGAGGAGGTTATGGAGGAGGATATGGCAACCGACTTAACTTTTTTGTGGATCCTTCATTAGCTGCTCAACTGGGAGCCATTGGAAATGCAGCAGCTGGAAATCAACAGGCTAACGGAGGAGGAAATCAACTGGCAGGAGGAGCGCAACTGGGAGCTGGTCAAGGATTCGATCCCTCTTTTGGAGCCCAAGCAGCTGGAGGAGCAGGTGCACCCTTTAATCCAACTTTTGGAGCTAATCAGGCACAAAGACCCCTGCAAAACCAATATGATCCCAACTTGCAGCTGGGAGGACCCTTTGATCCCTCCTTAGGAGCTCAACTGGGAGCTGGTCAGGGTGTTTCCAACCAGAGACCTTTTGATCCTTCCTTTGGAGCTCAATTGGGAGCAGGTCAAGGAGTTCCCAACCAGAGACCCACCAATGGACAGGCACAGGCCCAGGCACCTTTCGATCCTTCTCTAGGAGCTCAATTAGGAGCTGCTCAGGGAGTTCCCAACCAGCGACCCAATCCACCAGCAGGAGCTCAACTGGCTCAACAGGGAGCTTTCGATCCAAATCAGGGTCAGTTTGATCCCTCCATTGGAGCTCAATTGGCGGCGGGACAAGTGCCGCGCCTCAACAATAACCGACGTCAACCCAACCGATCCAACTATCAAGGTCTCAATGTTCTAAATGGCAATGTTTTTGGTCAACCCCATCTCCAGGGACCCGTGAATGCTCTGGGAAACCAACAGGATACCAACATCATCGATGGCAATTTTTATAGCGACCCACATCATGGTCATCAGAAGGCTCTCGTATCGGTTAATCCCAATCAGCGATCGGTTTTGATACCCGATGACGATGATGATTCTGATGATGATGGACAAGCGGGAGGTTTCCTGGGATTTGCGGCCAGCAATCGTCAGAGTTCTTATGTAGTGGCTCCCAAGAAACATCGTTCCCATAGGAGTAACTCCAAGCGTAAGATTGAAGACCTTGGAACCTCGGCCTCTGAATACGATACCGATTATCGTGAGGATGGCTATCACTACCAGAAGCCCAAGCATTCCTTTGAATTTTAATTTTTATAAAAACCACAACATATAATAATCAATATTAAATTATACTTAGCAGCATTTGCTACAAAAGCAGTCAAAAGAAAGGTTGTTTCGTTTTTATAGCATACTTTCAGGCTCTTAAAAATGGCTTTCATTTCCGTTTCCGCTTTTTAGCTGCTTTGAAGTTTGTCGAGTATTTTACACGGCTTTTTAAGCTGTGCTTTAAATTCAGAGCTTTTATTCAAACTTTAAATTGGACTACATAAAATTAAGTTCCTTATATTTATAGCCTGTAATTTATGGCTTTGTTTGGCTCAAAAAACTTATGAAAAATGGATTAACATAACACGTGCAAATAAATTAGGGCATTTATATCCAGAATTTGATGGAAAAGTTTTATATATTTACTATCTTAACCAAACCATTAGGAGAACGCGGAAAGAAAACTAGTTCAGAGACCCATAGAAATAGAGGCACACAAAGATTTGGAGCGAGAGAGGCTAGCAAAATGAATTGTCGACATAAATTTATGCAATTTAGATTCGATTCTCATGCAAATCCAATCAACTGAAATCAAAATAGAAATAAAACAAAATCTATTGTTTCACATGGGCAGCAAATCTTGACTGCATAAAGGTGAGCTGGCCAAAAACATATTCATTGGATCCGTTTTGGCCTAAAGCATTTTCGACCTATGAAGTCTGCTTGTATGTTATGTTTTGTTATGATTATTATTTTTGTTTTTTTTTTTTTGTTTAAAGGCGGGCCTTAGTAATGTTCAAAATTCGCCAATCAATGTCAATATTAGCGAGTGGACTCCTAAATCAAATGTGGGCTGTCTATTATGCTCACATGTGCGTCTATTTTTGGCCAAAACTGTAGGTCAGAGCGGATTAGCCGATCTCTCGGTCGGCTCTTGACCCAATACTCCACGCGGCCCAAAGAAAGCTATTAGCTGATCTCCATAAATCAGCGCACTCTTCTCAACCGGTGAAATTAGCCCGCTTAAGTGAGCAAAAAAAAAATAATATCGCTACAAGTAGCGTTTAAATTAAAATAATTTATGGCAAACTTTCGTATCAAACTCTACGGAGGAATAAAATTAACGGAGACCGCTAAGGCATTCAAAGCCCGCTGATTACAGAAATAAATTTCGGATGATGTCTGTGCGAATTTCGCCGGCTTTTGTGGCTTTTGGCTATGCAAAGCGAGTGAGTGGGTTCATCGCGGGGCTGCCGAGTTCAATGATCTGCGGAGCCACCCGCTTCTTTGGCAATTATTGCCATCAAACATTGCGGACCATCATTTAATGATTTTCCTGGGGCACTGAACAAAAGCTCAAATATATTTTTTGACTAAAAATAACGGATTTTAAATGGTATTTGTTAAATTTAAGTTTTAGCTTAATTTCATCAAAAAAGGAACACAATTTTATTATTTTTTAAACCTTTTTTGAAATAAATAAAATAGTTTAAGTAAGAGAATACCATTTCTTTAAATTTTAAATATTTTTAGGAATTTAGTAGTATTATCTTCACAGTTAAACATATAATTTAAATATTTAGTACAAATTGTTTTAATTTATTACTCGTTAATATAATAATATACATCGAATGTTTATTCAGCTCAACTAAAAACCAAGCACTTTAATTTAATTACTTCTCTACGGTTTTGCATATTTATTTGAAATGAATATTCAATTTGCGATAATAAAACAAGTTTTATTTATTGTCAAAAGTTATGGAATCAAGAACGAGAAAATATATATTTTATTTTCTTTAGGTGTATTCAATATATGGGCTTCTCCAGATGGCCAACTTAAAGCTAGAACTCCGAGCCTAAAGAGTCAGAACTAATTCGATCTCATGTAACTCCGCCTTGCGTCATCCGTTAAAGATAGCCGAAGAAATCGAAGAGCTCCACATGCTGGAATGATTAATTTTCAGCACTTGGCAGCCGCATAATTAATTTTAGACAGCCCACAACCGAAAATACATTTTAGAGCCCAATCCGCACCTCAAAACCTCATGTTTCCATCAGCCATCAAACAGAAAACCACTCGATGAGCCGCGGGCAGCACCAAAAAATCAGAAAAAGAATTAAAACTAGAATCAAAATCAGAATTACATGAAAGGAACTTGCCAAATTTCGGCTGCCACGCGTATCCATTATTTATTGGCCCCAAGCCGAGTGTTAAAAGTGTGCGGAGATCTTTTTCTTTTTCTTCTAAATTTGTTGCTGCCCTGTTGCTTGGCGATTGTTTTTTGTATATTTATATTTTGACTTTTTTCGGTTTTGTTTTGTTTTTTTTTTTGCTTATTTTGAGCGCTGGAGATGCGCTTCATGGCGGTGGTGGCACTTTCTAGTCGCCGGCTCAGAAGAGTGGAGCGATTTGGAAACGGGTTTCCAGAATGATTTATCATACATTTTAGTTAAACGAAAAAAGAGCATCACCGGCTAAAAAAACGTTAAATTTATCATAAAAGACTAAAACGTGTACTTGGCTAGGGAAGATTAGGGACCTTCTATGACGACATGTTCTTACTCTTAAGTTTTAGATAATATAATAATTCAGAGCACAGAAGGTGTTTATATAGCAGTAACCAAAGAAAACTAAGTAAACATTAAAATAAAATTAAAGAAACCAAACCAAATTTTATTATTTACAACAAAGCATGAAAAATATTAATGGAAAGAAAATTGATGTATGTTTCTATATACTGTTTTGATTTAAGCTGCATCTCAAAATCCAAATTATACTCTTAATTTAAATACGTTACTTATTGAAATAGAAATTAACTAAAATGTAAACTAATTTATTTAAAATTAAAATGCATCTAAAGCATTTACTATGCAAAATGAATTATTAATAGATTACTAATTGCAAAACTACGTTTAAAATAATTTTTAGGAATATACATAAATATATTAAAATTGAAGGTTTTTTAAAGATTTTTAAAATTTATTTTGATGCCGTAGCTTCCCTTCGATCTGCAGAAATCCTCCCCAGTTAAAGTATCTTAAAAACTAAATTAACTAGCGCGTGTGACTATGCCGGCCAAAAGACAAAGACTAAGACAAAGGAAAGGCAGCAGCAGAGCAGCCACGAGAAAGAAGTCGCCGCCTGTTAAGCTCACAGATGAGGCAAAAAATCGAATGGCCATAATATTAATTAGAATAGAATTTGCATAAATTAAGCCAACGCGAAATGGTTTTTGTTAGACAGAGCGACGCGGCCTGTGGGATTATGCAAAGGTAAAGAAAAGACAGACTGAAATCTGGAATATATAGCGTATCGTTTCGGAAACTCCATTTGGGGAGTCCAAACGATGGAGTGTGCCCATCCATTATCTGAATCAGTCTCCTTTCGCCGAACAGCTCTCCAGGTTTCTTTTCTTTATTTTTTGCTATGGGTTACGCTAATTCGGGGCCCACGCTTACTTATTAAGCCGAGATGACAATTTTAAGTGTTGTCTGTGGCCATTGTGATGGCTTTTTGTCCCATTCTATGGGGCAAACTTATATATGGAACCCCGTCTGCCATTCACTAATTTGCATATTTTGCTAGTTTTTGCGATTCCGAAATGGAACTTTTAAGTGTTCGGACCGGCTCACCGAACGAACTACTGATGCTGCTGATGGATAATAATAGTAAGCAGATGAGTTGGCCGGCTTATCGTGATCTATTGACTGGGCAGCATGCGTGTAGAACATTTATGGGCAACTGGATCATAGTCTCAACAGAAAAATAGAATATGCTAGATAGAACAGGCGATGCTTTGAGTGAATAAAATGTAAATTGGCAAAGCCATAAATTCAGCTCGTTAATACTCGCAGTTTGTGACTATTTTTTTAGTGCTGCACACAGCACACAGGAAATGAAATGATTTATCTTCGCTGGAGAACAATGGAAAACAAATAAACAGAAAAAACTAGAATTGTAAGGCTCTAAATGTTAATGCATTTGAAGAAATAGGAAAAATGATATAGTTGTTATTTGATACGATGGCAAGTTCTTTACGATCGCCGCTTTAATTAGCCAAACTGGTGCTATAAAGACTTTGGAGTCTTCTGATCTTCTGAGAGTTCAACTTTCGAGGCGCCGATTGGTGGCGCGTGACAACCATCCATCATTATCATCTCGCCATCCCATCAATATCTCTAAGACATCGGGCAACCCCTCAGATATATGACCTTGACTTTCGCAGCTCTACTTTGACCCATCCACAATTTAAGTTTTTCGCAGAATCGAAGATCAGTTAGTCATCGTTTATCCTTCAGTTTTACGGAACCGATTAGTTCTTAGCACCTCTAACGAGCCTTGCTTCATGGTTTTTTTCTGCTTCCATGTTGCAAATACTCCGCAAATACACCACTCAAAAACCATGTACTCCCCCTCCTGAATTTATCATTAATCATTGCCGAAGAGTAGCTGCTGCAGTCTACTAACAAATTGATTAGCTTGAATTGATGGCCTGCCTTCCTCTTCTCAACGCATAAATAATTGTGATTGGAACATTTAATCCCCTTTTATCAGCTGGAGCGTGCGTTCAAATTAAATATACTCATAAATAAGCTGAAATAAATAAACAAGAGGTGCAAACAACTTTACTTGATTTATTTTAACATTGCATGCAGGTCCATGTTCGATTTTTGGTGAGAGGTTTTCGAACAGGAGTATCGCAGAAATCAGTCGCAAGTCAAATGTCAAATCTGGATGATATAGAAAAGTGCTGAATTTGGGATTAAGAGAGTGATATGTGGGTTGTCCAGTCAATTAAGTGAAATGCTATATAAAATTTTAAAAACTATAAATACTTAATAGGCAGAAAGTTATAGGTGTACTAGAAAATGTCTTAAAACAAATGAAAACATAAGCATATATGTTTTTGGAAAAATTACGAATTTAAAAGTATAAATAAAAAAAATCTGTGAAATAAATGATACTAATAAGTAGGTCATAGTTATAGTAAAAAGTTAAAATCCGTATCCCTATTAATAATTTCTGATCTTTTGATACAAACTTGCATCCGCCTGAAATAAATTATTCTCAGAATCCACAATAGGCGATTCTCAATAGCTCCTCAATCGAATATCCGGCATTCTGTTTACAAACTCGAGGAATCCATAGGCATCAGGCATAATTATATCATATTTCCAAAAATTGAATGCTTCGCTTGGTCAGTTCCTATTTGTTGATTAATGAACGGCGAACGACACATCGCCACAAAGAGAAGAGGCTGCTGCGATCGAAATAATCGACTTTCAGCCGGGGTTTTGAGATCTATTGAAGTGAGCGCGAACTTGATTGAAACATATAACTCATCATTTGAATTTAAATCGGAATCGAGCGCAATTCCAAAGGCGGCTTGAATGAAACAAGGTGGGCAAAAAGCAAACACAAAGAGGTGTAAACAAGATGAGAGAGCCAAGTTAACACGGATATATATCTGTGTGTGTGTGTACGCTCGACTTGTCCAAAACGTTGATGTCCATCAAATCTTTTGCATATGATTAAATAAAACAATTAAGAGAATCCGTGCGAACGATTTTGGCCATTAAACTTTTTTTTTAGCCATCAACTGCTCTTGTGAGCTCGTGAGTTTTTGGAGTTTGTGCGGTCGCGTTGGCCAAGCTGCGTTTGAGCCGCAAAAGAGAGGCTTTTAGAACCCGCAGCTTCGCGAAGCCAACAAAAATCGTGCGAATTTACAGACGCCTGCGCCGACAGCGACGTCTTTTTTTCGTGGGCAGAGGGCAAAAACGCCAGCTGTGTAATGGCCAGCGAAGAGCGGAGAATCTGTATAAATACCAAAAGGTTCTGCGTATTCCTCATTAGAGTTTCGGTTTTACTGCTGTGAACAAGCAACTCAACGGACAAAAATGGTACGATTCGAACATCACCACCACTGAAGGACTAACCCCACTAATCCCAACGATTCTCTGTTCCGATTACAGAAACTCTTCCTGGTCGCCTTCGCCGTGATCGCAGCCGTGGCTGCCGATGTCAGCCACCTGCCCTCCAACGAGTACCTGCCTCCCGTCGTCCAGGAGCAGCAGATCATCGCTGGACCCTCCAACGAGTACCTTCCCCCCGTTGCTGTTGAGGCTGAGCCCGCCCATGAGCTGGCCGATGATGGCTACCGCTACAAGACCCATAAGCGCGTGGTTCTCCGTCGTCACCGTCGCGATGTGAACGAGCTCTCCAACGAGTACCTGCCCCCTGTCCAGGAGGCCATTGCTCCTTCCAACGAGTACTTGGCTCCCGTTGAGGCTGCCCAGGAGACCGTTCTCGCTGATGATGGCTACCGTTACAAGACCCACAAGCGCGTGGTTGTCCGTCGCCACCGTCGTGATGTCAACGAGCTGTCCAACGAGTACCTGCCCCCCGTCCAGGATGCTCCCTCCAACGAGTACTTGGCCCCAGTTGAGGCTGCGCCCGAGACCATCTTGGCCGATGATGGCTACCGTTACAAAACCCACAAGCGCGTGGTTGTCCGTCGCCACCGTCGTGACGTCAACGAGCTGTCCAACGAGTACTTGCCCCCCGTCCAGGCTGCCGCTCCTTCCAACGAGTACCTGCCCCCAGTTGCTGTTGAGGCTGAGCCCGCCCACGAGTTGGCTGATGATGGCTACCGTTACAAGACTCACCGTCGTGTGGTCCTCCGTCGTCACCGTCGTGATGTGAACGAGCTGTCCAACGAGTACCTGCCCCCTGTCCAGGTTGCCGCTCCTTCCAACGAGTACCTTGCTCCCGTCGAGGTTGAGGCTGCCCCAGCTGCTGTTCTCGCTGATGATGGTTACCGTTACAAGACCAACAAGCGTGTGGTTGTCCGTCGTCACCGTCGTGATGTCAACGAGCTGTCCAACGAGTACCTGCCCCCCGTCCAGGATGCTCCCTCCAACGAGTACTTGGCCCCAGTTGAGGCTGCGCCCGAGACCATCTTGGCCGATGATGGCTACCGTTACAAGACCCACAAGCGCGTGGTTGTCCGCCGCCACCGTCGTGATGTGAGCCACCTGCCCTCCAACGAGTACTTGCCCCCTGTCCAGGCTGCCGCCCCCACCAACGAGTACCTGCCCCCAGTGTCTGCCCCCGTCCAGGTTGCTGCCCCAGCTCCCGCTCCAGTCCAGATCGCCGCCCCCGTCCAGCTGGCTGCCCCCGCTCCCGTCGAGATTGAGGCCGAGCCCGCCCATGAGCTTGCCGATGATGGTTACCGTTACAAGACCCACCGTCGCGTGGTCTACCGTCGCCACCGTCGTGACGTCAACGAGCTGTCCAACGAGTACCTGCCCCCCGTCCAGGTTGCAGCTCCTTCCAACGAGTACTTGGCTCCCGTCGAGGTTGAGGCTGCCCCAGCTGCCGTTCTCGCCGACGATGGTTACCGTTACAAGACCAACAAGCGCGTGGTGATCCGTCGCCATCGTCGTGATGTCAACGAGCTTTCCAACGAGTACCTGCCCCCCGTGCAGGCTGCCCCCGCTGCCGAGTACCTGGCCCCCGTGGAGAACACCGTCGAGGTTGCCCCCGCCCATGTCCTGGCTGATGATGGCTACCGCTACAAGACCCACAAGCGCGTTGTGATCCGTCGCCACTAAATCATGCGATAATGGCTTTCACTAGGTGATCGATTTGTGCTCATTTTGGAGTGCAGACCTTACTATTAGAATACCTCCTTTTCATTCAAACAAATACAATACAATTCGATAACGAATCCATAAACACAAAGTCTTTTAATTTTGTGATATTAGTCATGGGGTGGCAAAAAGCTATACTTTCAAAGTCTAGACTCAAATAAAAAAACACAAAAATTCCCATTGGTTATAGTATATGATTTTATTTTAAAATGTAAATCAAAAATTTGGGGGTTTTAAAATCAATGTCGTTCACTTAAAAAAAATTGAAAAACAATATTTTGTTGATGTAAAATGTTGTCTTATTTGAATGGCGATTATTTTCTAGGTTTAGAAAACTTTAGTCGTTTTTCTTAACTCAACGGTTATCATAGCAATTTTGTTTATTATTGAATATGTGTAAGTTATGGTAAATTTTTTGTCTTTATATAACTTTAATTTAACTGCCCAACTAACTATAGAAGGAGAAAAAGTATAACAATAAACACCAATAAAAAATCTGCTTAAAGTATATTAAAAAGATAAGACAATTAGCATATTATGCGTATAAAATTCACCTAAAAACTCACCCTTCCTGTTGCTCTTGATGGGATAGTGACGAGTGGAGCTGTTCACCTGCACCATGGCTTGGACGTGACCATCGTTTGTGCAGTGGGTGGCGGAGCTTGAGCGAAACCGGCGGCCACAGCCTGCGGAGCCAGTGGATTGGTGGTGAATATGTTGCCGCCAATCTCGTAGAAGTTCTGGCCATGGGCCGTAGTGGGAGCCACAGTGTCAGGCGGCCAGGGACCAGCCACCAAGCCGGCATAGAATTGATTCTGAGGAATCGGCTGTAAGAAAATGATAGATTTGAGTTACAAATATCAAAAAAATGTTGGGAAATATAACAACTTGGGCGGAATTAATGAAGTGTTTACATTTACCAATTGCATGGAGGGACGCTTCTTAAGATCACTGTGCGACTTGGAGCTCTGCCGGGGAGCCCTTGGCCAGCGGTTTGAAGGGCGGTGGCGATTGATAGCGCGGCTTATCCTTAAATCTTAGGGAACCTCTTTTCCTGGGCGACAGTAATCCTGCGGAAATATCAAATATGCATATTGGTTGTAATGTTTGCTGACCATGATTCACCGACGATTACCGGCGAAAAGCTTTAAGCTCTGTGACCTTACCTTTCTTTCAGTGTCATCTCAAACTAATGTATTGCTGCCTTCATTACACGTGCGAAATGGACTTAAAGAGGATCGACATTTTTAACGAGGACTCAGAGGAGCTGGACGCGGCGATCGCATATGTCGGGCGGCACCGTGCAGATATGCAGCAGGGAAAAATATTGTTGACCTGCCTGCTGAAGCAACTGCACGACCGCCCGAAGCCATATGTGATCATATTTGACGAGTTCCACTTCAAGCATGTGAAGAACTCGGCTTATCAAAAATGGAGGGCACTCGTGGCAGGAGTTGCCACCGTGGACGGGACGTTCATGAGGATCGTCCACATCCAAGTGGTAAGTGTGATCAAAAAAATATAAATAACATTTGAATAATTATGGATTATTTGTAATTTTTAGGTTTGCATTGAAATGCACTTATCTGGAGGCGCCGAAATGGCAAACGGCGTAAAGGAGTTATATGAATTCCTGGACGCCCACGGCCTGACAACATATCTCGTCGGAGCCGTTGCCGACCAGAACGGCACAAACACAGCCGCCAAGTCCTGGCTCACGGGACATGGGTGCCCTGTGGTCTACGACCACAGGCATCTGTGCGGTACGCTGGCCCGCGCTGGGTATTGCGACGCCCTGCTCCGACAACTTTACAGAAGCGAAGTCTTCTTATCAGAAACATTCGCCGTCCGTATGGACAAATTCTGGTCGGTCGGGGCAGGTGTGAAGCACCACTCAGCGCGGGTATTATACCAGAATGAGCTGCCGCACATTAAATCCCTCCTGGCGAGGTACTTCGTCGTGGAGACGGGGAAGGTGTCCCTCAGCTACGTAAACGCCGACCTCTTGGAGGACATTGGAATCAAGTGGTCCTGCAAGATGGCGAATGCGGTTGGAGAAGCCTTCCAAAAGTTCGAGGTGGAGAGTCCGGCACTGGCAGTAGAGGTGGTGACCAGCATGATCACCATATTGGCCAGACTGGAGGCGGCATTACTCTCCGATGTTCTCCAACAATTGACATGAAAACAAAAACAAACATAATTAATTAAAAAAACAATTTTAAAAAAATCAAAACACACCTGTCTTTTTAATTTAGTAAAATCTTTTAAATATTGGGAAAACCAACACCTGTGCTCACTCAAATAATTATTCGCTCGGAATGTTTGAATAATTTTTTTAAGTGTAAGCAGGTCTTGTTTACCGATTAATGTGTGTATATATGTATGTGTATTAGGGTGGGTCGATTTGAGACCCCAAAAATCGTATAGGGGGAACGTAATCTTTAAAGGATTCTAAGCCATATTGGCGAACATACTTATGGTCTAAAATGACGTTTAACTCCCCCCAAACGCGAATGAAAAATACAGCTTTTTTGAGGAAAATATCATAGTAGTCAGCACAGATATATTAATGAATATCAAATTCAAATTTTTATTTCAAATTTAGTAATACATTTTTTCCTCAAAAAAATCAGTATTCTTCATTCGCGTTTGGGGGGGGTCAAACGTCATTTTAGACCATAAGTATGTTCGCCAATATGGCTTAGAATCCTTTAAAGATTACGTTCCCCCTATACGATTCATCACTTTTTTCGGCTCCATACAAATCGACCCGCCCTAATGTGTATGTATGCAAATAAGCGAAAAGCGCTGCAATGGCGGATGTTTTGTTTTGATTGCATGATTTCTTTTCCTTTTCTTTCTTTTACATTTACTTTAAAAAGAAAAAACACAGAACATGCACGACCGGGTATCGATAGGTTAGACATTAAGGGGTTATATACAGTTGTGATAGATAAAAAAATGTTTTTTTTTTATTGCATATTCTTGAAGTATATACTTTTGAGAATACTCTTACAAAAATTCAGAACGATTAGAACCGAAGTTGTAGCTTTTTACAAATCCTTCGTTCAGGGACTAGGCAATACAATATACTAACGAAATTTTTTTGAATTGGGGATTTGAGATGAACCGTTCTTAGGATATGATGTCCACCGCAAGTCACCATCAAAAAAAGACGATCTTGGATTAGTACCCACACACAAAAAAAAGCACGTCGCCGTAAAATCGATAAGTCCAGGTAATTTTCTGGTTATTCCTACTCATATCGTTTTTAACTGAAATATTCATAAAATTTACATTAATTAATATCATTTTGCCGAATTCTCTCTCTCGGAGATTCTCTAACTTCGAAAAAGAGCGCAAGAATCAATATGGCGAGCAAAATGACATGAGTGGAAGGGAGAAAGACTGATTCGAAATTCGAACTGACGTACTTCAAGCATGTTTTCTCGCTCGCACTAGTGTACGTTTTGGTCAGAAATAAGATTTTTTACATTTCGAACATATCACATTTACCTGGCCCCATATCAAGTTAAAAATGATCTTAAAAAAGGTCAAATTGACCTACGATTCATATCGAGTTTTTTTTGGGTGCAGAAACATCTACTAAACAACGCCGGCAAAACATTTTTAATAAATATTTTTTTTGGTGTCAAAAAAAAAGGTAAAATTTTATTTTTTTGTGCGGTACAAATGTATACTTGTTTTTAACAAAACCGCTAGCAGTTTGCCACTTAGCCATGTAAAACCTGCCAACATAGCGAACTTTGCATCCAACATGAAACTCAATGGCACTATGGTCCAAAAATCGATTTTTAAGGCATAAACTCTAAAAATTGAGTCACAGATAAATAATTTGTGTAATTTTTTTAACGGAATTATAAGCAAAAGAAGACATTTCCTTTTCTTTCTCCTACGAATGCTTAACAAAGAAGGATTCAAAATAACAATTTTTTTTATTTATTTTTGACGTTTTATCAGCTTTTAAGTAATAATTGATAATTTTTACAGAAATTCAATCATTAACATAAAAATTTACACTTTATGCCAAAAAATCGGCCGCTCGGACCATAGTGCATGGGCCGAAAATGCATGTTTGAATCGAAAAGTGAGGAAATTGTCGTTTTTCGCCTAGGTGGCATCATTGGTGAATTCGCCGAAGAGAGCGCTGCCGATCGCTTGCTCTATCTAGAGTCTAGACATTTTCTTATTCTATATCACTTATAAAATGGGACGCAAGCGCTGCAGATGCTCCCGGAAAAGACGGCGATCGTCGTCGTCGTCGTCTCCATCGCCGGTACGTCGGCCAAAACACCGGAGAAACAACCCGGCGTCCTCGATGCCCCCATATCCAATTGCCTACGGTGGCAACCTATTTCCTGCTTCCTTCACGCAGAGCTATCCGCCCGCGGCAGCAAACCCCTATGGTAAGTACATATCAATATGGGCACTTCCAAAAAAAAGTCCACCAAGCCAGAGGTTGAGAAATCCGCTTTACAATGTGCTTGAAACTGCATAAAAAAACAACGGAAAACAATTTTCGCTATTTCTCTTCTTCTATTTTTGTCCCGAGCGAATACTCCAGTTTTGGGAAGAGTGAAAAGAAAAGCCCATAATTAAAATTGTGTTACATTACACGTGCGAAATGGACTTAAAGAGGATCGACATTTTTAACGAGGACTCTGAGGAGCTGGACGCGGCGATCGCATATGTCGGGCGGCACCGTGCAGATATGCAGCAGGGAAAAATATTGTTGACCTGCCTGCTGAAGCAACTGCACGACCGCCCGAAGCCATATGTGATCATATTTGACGAGTTCCACTTCAAGCATGTGAAGAACTCGGCTTATCAAAAATGGAGGGCACTCGTGGCAGGAGTTGCCACCGTGGACGGGACGTTCATGAGGATCGTCCACATCCAAGTGGTAAGTGTGATCAAAAAAATATAAATAACATTTGAATAATTATGGATTATTTGTAATTTTTAGGTTTGCATTGAAATGCACTTATCTGGAGGCGCCGAAATGGCAAACGGCGTAAAGGAGTTATATGAATTCCTGGACGCCCACGGCCTGACAACATACCT